GACACTACCAAGAAAAATAACACTATAGTACTGAAACTATTCCAATTCTAAAGAATTAGTCTACAGTTCATATGATTGAGTTGATCGTTCCCAGCTTCTAGTTTTTGTTGCTGAGGGGCTCTAGTACTGTTATAGGATTAAATGAAGTGCTAAGCAAAAGTAATGAACAACGTAAAACTTTCGATCTTTGATAGCTTTTAATAAAGCCACGTGAGATCATCCTCAAGATCTTCCGTGTCAAGAAACTCGAATAGAACTGAGACTAAATAATAGATGATGTACTTCCGTGATAATGATCGCATTATCAGGTTTATAAAATGAAAACTTATCGGTAATGCTGCGTCTCAGAAACGATGTGAAACCACATAGAGTAAACATGAATCGCTAATCGATGAACTATAAAAACCGAGAGACAACGCGGAAAGGCGTCCCAGAAAGACAGATTTTGTCATCTGCTTGGTTTCTGAGAATCACGTCTTTTTTGTGTTTAGTTACGAAACGGTGTTGTACGCTAATTGATAGTTCAAATGTATGCTACTGAAATGTTTAGATACGATCGTTCGGGATCTTAATCAAGAAGCCTTTTGGTGAGAATATCTTTATCTAATTTATCATATGTTACTGTTTTTCTGATCGCAAATAAACTTTTGATGAGCACAGTAGGATCTATTTAACGTTCATATTAATTCTATTCTCACTTTTCGCAAGGATAGGATGGGCGAAACCATAAAAATCGATGGTGATAATTGGTGTAAGAGAGCCACTGGTTAGTCTCAGGATTAAGGCGTCTGAATAATAGGCGAAACTCGCCATCTCTATCGCTTCTTGATATTCTAACCGGCTATACTGATATTAGCGCGTGGGATTGAAATCGTATTCTTGATTTGAGGGTCTGATCCTATACGAGACATATTTTCACGTACGAGTGTACTGATCAGGTAAACGATATCGCCCGATGAGAACATGAGAACCTACAGTGATGGACGATTTATCAACAACAGTGTGCGTTCTGAGCCCTAAGTCGTCCGAATAATGTTAGAAGATGGCTATCACCGTAAGTTTCTAATGTGCTAACCGGCATGATTGGGGTAAAGCGTTTAGTTGAGACCGTATTCATAAGCTATCTGCACAAGCATCTTTCATATTCAGATACCTTTATGCTGGCAGATGTCAGTTGTATGAAAATACTCATGCTAGCTGTCATATGCATACACTCAACACCGTTATCGTCAAGAAGCCACTGTATACGAACAGTTCATGTAGTTTTAGAAATTCAAGCATACATCCCAACAGCTAGATGTGTACCGACTCAATGTACACTTCTCGATTATGAAACAGTCAGAGTCACTTTTGATTAGAATCAATCGAACTCCAGTAACTTCATTTGTAGTACATCATGAACGGTGCTTACGGTGCACCGGTCAATCATTGTCACTGTTGCATTCCTAGAGGAGAATAAAATGGTTTCTTAGCGCCAGGTATTCATACATTATTAATTCGATGGAAAGCCAAGAAGTGCAAATCTTATTTTATCATAAAAAAACAGTTAGACGTCATTTGACAATGATGTACACTTTAAAAATTCGCACTATGTTAAGCGAACAGATATGAATGAAAAGTTATGTAGGATGCAGAACTAACGAAAAGAGAAGTCAAGCTGATATGGATTACTTAAACATTCAGTGTTTAGAGAAAAAAGCGATTATCTTCGATTGAAAGTATCTACATTACCGTTTTCATGATTCGTCTCAGTCTAGTTATTCTCCACCGAACTATTCAAACTGACTATCTCATTCAAATAAAAGTTTCTTATGTTGTCTTCTCATTTTTATGATTCATCATTGTTTTGCTTTCTCTTCAGAGTCGAGTCGTTGAATCTTGACAAGCAGTATACCGACATTACGAACATACTACACAAAAGTTAAATTTTTGCAGGCATTTTTTCTGCAACAACAGGTTTCGCCACTTTTCCATGATATGCATCGCCGTCAGTTCCACACTGTAATCTGTGATGCAAGCATACATGCAATTCAATTACAATCTGCGAGGGCAACGCATGTTCTGTTGGAGTACAGTATTCCTGGTATCACTCTTTCTTGTGAAAAAAGTGCTATCGAAACTTCTACTTTTGTTTAATACACAGACTCTTTTACTGTACTAGGCCTTGCCCATGGGAAACAACAACTGTTTAGTCTTCAATAAAGATATCCTCTTTCTTTCTCCTTTAAAAATAAACTAGCACACTATAAAAACGTAATGTAAAGTTGCATTTTAATATTAAGTTTAATTAGGAATCTTATGTATAAAATGGTTATCTGTACGAGAGAACAGGATCGAGATATCCTCAATAAAACTTTACAAGTCTGAACACAACAACGTTGCATCACGTAGCTCTAGCTATCACACATAAAGGAGACGGCTATGTCAATATTTTGATCTTCTTACTGCACAGTCCTTTGTAGTCTCCATATTTCTCCAAGCGTTCAACACATTAGAATGTCATATTCAATTTTTGAAATATTCTTCCCACAAAAGACGTACTTTTGTGTCGAAAAGCGCTTATAGGTGTGGATATCTCAAAAGAAGGTTCACACCCACATCGTTAATTCAATCTACCTTTCCATAGACTGTTGCTACTTATAAACATTGGTAAGGATTTGTGACTCGTTGCAGATTCATATTAACATAATAAATGATTCGCCTCAGTCCTCACTATTTTTACTTACCAAAAAAGGCTTTAGAAACATAGAAAACTATAGTAGGATATATGAATTTGCAATTGATAACAAAATCTTGCTAATATCTATGAATAGAAACGATTTATGAAAGGGTAGATTATGCTAATAAAGACGTAGGTGAAGTTATTACCAGATTTGAGTGTTTCAAGTCCGAATTCGTCTAGAAATTTGTTCCGAAACTCTTATGCTTGTTCCAAGTAGAACTCAACGAGCTTTATCTAACAATATGCTCGGAATTTCCATAAATGCAATTCTAATTTTCAGGTTTTGCACAGCGTCCTACATCGTCTCAAATATCACACTTAGGCTTATGGCAAATTAGAGAATACAATTGAATAGAGCTTGTAGACTTATTCTAGGATAAAATTCCTCCACGAGTCCCTAGTGGAGTTAGTTTTGAGGGTACCTGAATTCCATGGCAGAAAAAGGAAGAATCGATTCTTTTCGACTATCAGTTTCCGCTATTAAAAAAAATCTGATTCTATCAAACGATAGAGCTCATCGAGTTCTACTTGGAGCAAGAGTACGAGTTTTGGAATAAGTTCCTGAGCCAATAAGAGATAGAAATACTCGAATCTGGTGATGACTTCACCTACGTCTGATAAATCTAAACCCAGTGTATGTCAATGATAATAAACGGATATGAAGGATTAATATTCTATGCTTGTTCTTTACAGTGCATGCCCCATGCCTAAGTCTTGATTCCACTCTGCCGTTCAATGTTCAATTAATCAATCTGATTTGTGTCGCTACTTATCAATACCAACTAGAATGCTTAATTCAGCTGTAATTCACAAAGTATAAACAATGCTTTATACTGTAAAAAAAGGTTTTCGTTTCATACTCACTTGTAAGTAGTTCCTTTTTCTATCTATCACTTTTCGACGAAATAGAGTGTGAACAGATGTTTTTTCCTCGGTCTCCTTAGTTTTTTCCAACATATAATCATTTGTGTGAGGCAATGTCGTAATTTCGCTGCTCGACAACTGCGTAAATTGGAGAAAAAAAAGCAAGTGTGAGGAGACATGATCGAGGGTAGAGCACGTGTTATAGGAAGAAAGAACACAAAATAACAGCAGTTTGTTCTCTCAAAAAAGGTAAAAGAACGCTTCATTTGAAATTCAGACGCAAATGCTTAGCAATATACAATGTTATATGGAATTACGTTGCATACTGTTCTGTTATTGCGTTCTCGTGAAAGATTGATGAATTTTCCTCTTCATTTCATCATTATTAGAAATTTCGACGTAGTGCGGCATTATTTTCCATCTGTTATAAGGACAACACAACGTATTTCGCTTTTATATGAACTATGAGTATATTATAAAGTGAAATAGCCTCATGAAATGTATAAGTTCCGTACAAGAAGACAGAACTAACAGCGTCGATCAAGGAGGTTATTGAGGTTAGCTCTTATGAAGGAAGATCTTTGGATAATTAACAGATTTCAAATCCATAGTTTACCTAGTAGTAGAGGATAACAAGAAAAGAACAACATCCAAAGAGTTCGTGTTCTTGTTGAATTTTGATCTAGACATTGAAGGTTTAGTGACGTTCGCTCTTCAGAATCCTCATGTTTTTAAAAAAAATCGAGATTTCGAGTTTTCATCTGAAACTTTATCTACATTCAAATATCAATTAAACTAGCTTGTATGCCGAAACTTGGGTTATTTCGATGCAGTCACTGTGAGACAAATTTTCAAGATGTTTGAGATTGAGGGTGTGAGCGTGATTGAACATGGACGGAAAATAATATCATCTATGTTTAGTTTGTATACATCTGCACAAAATTGAATGATGGAAACTCAGGATTTTAGAGAAAACAACACTTGCCGAATGCATCTGTTCGTCTTATCTTGTATTTTTATCCAAGTTTTTACAACACAACGGATAAGAATTGTGAGGATTTACAATAGATATTGAAGTATCAAATGAGTAATTATTATCCCACGCAGAATTATCGTTTTGGATTCAAAAGCAGATATTATTATGATATTGATCTGGTAACATAACATAGGTTCTTTGAGAAAATTTCTTGTGAAACTAAAAAGAAGGATGTTCTTGTTATTGCTAAGCGATTATTCCTTTGGAAAACTTCTTTTTCTCGATAAGAATATGATGAATAAAGATTGAAGTGAGGATCGTCTTAGATAATTACTGGTTGGTTATAAAATCTATATATTATAATAAATATTAAAATCAATAAATATTTTTTTCAAACCAATGCGTACAAAATGATATTTTATTTCAATAAACATAAGTTTATTCCGACTGTTGAGCCAACCATGCTTCAATAACACCCTTGAATGCGAAATTCTGTGTGACACCAGTGACTACTGTTCGACAAACAGGACAGATGTTCGCTGTGTTCAAATATCCATTAATAGCATCCATTTCGAACATGTGCCCACAAGGTGTTGTTGTTGCAGGATTATCCATAATATCGAGTGTAATCGGACAAGTAAATAAATCTTTATTGAGTACAACTCGTGATAAGTTTTCAACCGGCTTTGTAGCAGTTGTTCGTGTTGGTAACAATTCAAGATCGACCATACCTAAAATTTCATCATTGGCTGATTTTTCCTGTGCTTTTTGAAGCAATGCCGGTAGACTCTGCAGTTGTGGAGGGCTCATAACCGATCGCAGTTGTCGTGTCAATTTCTTGTACTGCTGCTCCAGATACTCTCGAACACCAGGTTTATCCAAATGAATGAACAGCACAATTTGAAAAGCAGTCGTTTCTGTTGTAGCTTTTTGTCCACATTCAATAGCATAATCGAGCTCTGTGATACCAGCCAATACTTGTTGACTAGCTATGCGTGCATATTCACCAAATCCATGTAACGCTCCGGCAGCAAAGTGATTGTCACACTGTGACACTAAATAATCAACGATGATAGATTTGGGAATGTTTATTGTAACTTTTTCTGTTGGCAAGGTAGCACCTTGACATGCAGCTTTGGCCATAGCTATCGTATCATTTATTACATCTGTCGCTCCCCAAACTACGTATGGAATTGTTCTGAGCCGATCACGAATTGTATAGATGTGAGCATTTATTTGATCAGATGAATAAGAATTACCATCGAGTTCTTTCAATTGATCACGTAGAATATCAACATCTTTTCGAGTACAAGTATTGTAAAGTTCAATAGCACCGTTCGGAAAATTAGGATATTCACGGAGCGATAAATATCGTGGTCTAACTACGGAACCGTGCTTTTCAAGATTTGTTCTATACCATCGTTCGACTTCAATTGGATCTGTAATAAATGTTGATCGTTCAGTGACTTGACCAGTACGAGCATCGACTCGATCCAAGTCTTTATTTATAAAGACACACCAAGCCATTGGTTCATCTGTATCAATGAATGGTAAAACATTTTCATAGACTTGTTTCTCATAAGTAATCGATCCATCAGTCAATCGAAGTAAGAAGCCTTTCAACGCATGTACAGTGAGAATTTGATGAATTGATTGTAAACTTTCAGATGAAAGACTTATTTTAGGAGCAAGTTCACGTAGAATTTTCATCCAAAATGCTGATCGATTTTCATCTTGATCTAGATCAGTTAGGAATTTATTCGGTACGATTAAACTCGGTAATGCTTGTGTGATAAAATCGGGAAATGTTCGACCTGATGCATCCATGATCCAAGCCAAACGAAGGGCAGCCAATGGTTGTAATGTCCATACGTTATCCTGTTTCATTTGTTGTGAATATTGATATTGTTGAAGACAAAATGGTAGTTGACGTAGAATAGAGAGTAAATCAACAGTACCATCCGATTTACGCCAAATGAGAATGCACAATTCCTCGGAAACTGTTGCTGGGCGATCGTCTATTTTCGATATTGATAAAATATCAAGAATGATTGAAAGAAGATCGAGATCTTCTGGTGAATATAGTGTTTTCAATTGTTGTAATGCTTCGGACAATATTTCACTTGTACAAGTCAAACTAGCCACTCGTACATTTAAATAGGCCACTGGTGGTCCATATTTTCGTTCATTTTCTTCGATAATCAATGCTCTTTCACTGACACTCATTGCATCATCCCAAAACTTACTCAATTCTGTCTTTGTCTTTGGATCATTAGCAACACTTTTGATTAACTTTTGGTGTTCATTTGCAAAATTGTTCAAAATTTTGCTTAAATATCCGTACAATTGTTGACAAGCATTACTTGTTTCCAAATGAGCTTGTGTCAACTTAATTAATGGAGTTACTAATGACATAAGCTTTCGAAATTCTTCGCCTCGAATACATCGTTCAAAATTGAGTTTAGCTGTTTCTTCGAGATATCGAAAAAGACCAAGGATTTTTTTTGTTAAAACTTGCAATTGAATTTCACCTTGAGAGAGACAGTTATTTAAAACTTGTATCATATGTGTTGGTGCAAGAAGATTTGATGGAATAGCATAAGTACCAATGGTAACATAGCCAGATAGACGAGCAAAAAAATTATGTTCACGTAGAAATCCTTCGATAATAGTATCAAGTTGTGGATATTTTTCAGAAGCGATACCGATATAAGGAACAGTTGGATGAACACTGGTTGAAATCGCTTTTGCGTGTTTCTCTTCAATACCTAATGAAGACCATGGTGGTGCAACAAAGAAAACAGTTTGGCACTGTTCTTGAAAAGCCAACCGAGAAATATTGTCAGTGAAATCTCCATCAGAAACGATGATTGCATCATATGGAGTAGGAAATTGTTTTGTTCGATCAAATGATGGACAAAAAGCTGTACAACCACCATTGGGTAGATAATTTCCGTTGGCAAATTGATCCAATGTAAGTAATTGATTAGCGATAGCCGTATGTATTTTCTCTTGTTGACCATCCCCAAACAAAGATATATGTACTTGAATACCTTGATTTTGTAATTTTATACATAGATTGATGATTGTTTGAACTAGTGGAGCGAAACCTCGTACGTTCATCGATGCACTCATATCAAAATGAATGATCAACGACCGTTTTTCCATTTCAACGCCGAGTTTTTTGAAATCGTCAAGTGTTAAAAGTGCCATTACTGGATGATATGTAATTAACTGCTTGACCATTGCAACGATTCGATTCAATGGAATCTCCACCTTATGAGATAATAGTTGAAGCATTCGATGATAGATTTGTTCCACGTAAGTCGATCGCTGATCAATCGGTCTACTAGTACAGAGTTCATCCAAGTTGGTCAGAATTTCTAGAAATTGTACTTGAGTGCATTTGTTAACATCCAGATCAGATAGAAGAAGCACTGGTACGAATGAATCTTCGTCCGCTGCTTTTCGTGCTTCTGCAGCCAAAATTTGTTTTGCTCGACGTGACATTTAGTGTTGCTTCAAATTATATTTTGCGTTCTGCTTTTTATAAGCAATGATTATCAAAAAGAGCTGACGACATGCTTTGCAATAAGCAGTATGTGGCATTGCACAATTTCACCATTAGTTGACGAATGAAGTAAAGAACAATAAAATATTTTTTTCTTGCGTTCTCTGCTCTTTTAACCGGCCTGTTTCTGGACACATCGCTGAAACAAACGTCTAATAAAAGTTTGAAATTAGCTGTGATATAGTGACATATTGAATTTTCCCACACTGATCGTTATTCATGTATATTGGAATTTTCCAAGTTTCGTTTTTCCTTTCTTTATATGAATTTTCTCATTTCACGTTGGAGATTTCCCATTCGACTGTATATGTATATATATGTGATCGCACGAGCTAGTGGTGGTTGTACTCCTTCGGATTCTGTTGTTTCGTATAACTGAGTTTCTGTCTCTATTGTATTCGTTCATCACGTATAAATAAACTAGAGAAGTTCACCTAACTTCTAACCTTCTATAACAAGTACAACACGTGACATTAGCACTACCACCCATTGTATAATTTTTTGTATTTATACACAGATCCCACAAGCACGTGCTTTATTAATGATACATGGCTACACATATTCTAACGTACAATCCATTTTAAATGGTCATACTACAGAGTAGAAATGAAAACCTGTGCGTTTTGACAGTATGTAATCTTCAGGAAGACAAAAACAAACAGTTTTCTCCTTGATTATGATTTGTTGTTCTTTTCCTTGAGGTAGCAGCCAGAATGAGACCTGTCTGGATTGGCGAGTGTCTGAATGAGGTATCGCTGAGCAAGATACCTCTTATATCAATTAAAAACATTTTGTTCTGCTCATGTTCATGGCGTTTTTTATAGGCGACCTGCCCTCTTTCTAAACTGTAGGATTCCCTACCTTGAACTATAGATATTGGTGAAGCATTTTTTCTTTGTGATCATTCACTCCTTCTCTGAAAGTAGCATAAGTTTCGAGCATCATTTCATAGCATTATTGAGTGTGACATTCGATAAAGTTTGCTTCGTAATCTGTTGCTATTTGATATTTCTTTGAAACTATGAGAAAAGTATAAATACGAGTCTTTGCAATATTTGCGAAATAAAATAAGAGGAAAAATCTCAGAAGGTTTTCTTTGAAAAAATGTAACAGATGAAGAGACATGTTCTCAATCAAAACAATTGTAATAAAGAATAAAGTTCTTATATTATGTGAGGGTGTGGATGGGTGTAGGTGGGTGTGAGCGTAGGTAGGTGTGGGTGTGGGTATGGGTTTGAGTATAGCTAAAGGAAAGAGCGGGACCCAAACCCACACCCAACCACCCACACTCATACCCATAGTCACACCCTAATTTTATTTTAGACAAGCAAAAAATCAATTACTTCAATTTTTATTGATCTCTTCATATATTCGGCACTATCCATATAAATCGTTTGATCTATCTTAGCTTTCTTCTCTCATGGTGATACATAACGGTGTATAACATCAAATATAGGTGCCATGGAAACAGGAACACATGTGACGAAACATACATATGTGGGATATAGCAACTGGCGTACGTGTTACAGAAAACTGGAATAGCTGGCGTCTGCCGTTCTAGCACTGGTATGTGATTAGTTTGATAACGCTTAGGAGCTTATGCGAGTTCCATATTTCATTCCCGAATGAGTCGCGTCAACAAATTGTTTTGTTCGAACAACTACTATGAGTCGATTGTAAGTCTACAACAAACAGAAATTCTTGACATTAGTACAATAGATAAATTAATCAATCGAATAAGATTCTCGTCATGTGCATTTCATAATGTGAATGTTTTCCATTCGTTGATTAAAAAATCGTTAACTCGTAACTCATTTTATTTCGAGTTTCATTGTGATTATTGCATTTCGATGTCAACTAAATAATCTGACAAATGCCATCGTGCATCTCATTTAGAATGAGAAAAGAGTCAACCGAACAATATGCTTTCTTCTCCATGAATTTGTATTGTCTTTGATAATTTATACAGTAGAAATTTGAAAGCGATTATTTTCATTTCATCTGACCGTTATTGATCATCATTCACTGTACAATAAATATACATCGAACAATTATTGAGTATAATATTGCTCTTTTTCAAGTATTTGACGTCAGTCTTAGTGATGCAATCAGATCTTTAAAAAGTATCAAACTTCGTAGTAGTAAATGGATCACTGCAGTTGACAGATTCATTGTAACAAATGATCAGTAAGAGGAATTCAATAATTTTTCGATATTGTTCATCATTTTAGGCATCAGTTGTTTTCTCAATCTCAATCAATTCTTCTTCAGAGGTCAAGCAAAAAATTCAAAGACATGTGACTGACAATTGAATAAAACTTATTGTAAACCGAGTCATCATGTAGTCTGGCATTTGATTTGACGATAAAGTAGTCTTTTCTTACTTGCTTGATGAATATTCATCAAGATATTCATGCATTATTGTCTTTCTCATTCACGACAACAATCATGAGTACACTATTTTTTCTCTTGTTTCGTAAGAATCAACATTTCAATGCAACATAGTTCTCTTTCTTCGTTGATGTCAATTACTTAACATAATGAACTTCATTGTTTTTGAATTAACAGAAGAAAAGGTTTTCGATTTCTCAACTGTTGTCCATAATAAATAGTCGATATGGGTTGGTATTTTTTGAATAACTCGAGATCAAAAGTGATAAAGATGTGCAGTTTTCACGATTTGAAAGAGTGATATCGAGAGTATATATCTATGGAGTACTTACTAGATTTTGCAGAGCTCTTTCATGACTACTTTTAAACTGATCTTTTTTTTTGTTATCTTTTTTCATAGAATGTCACAACAATTTCAACTCAAATTACTCACAGATGTAGTCGAAACTACCCTATATTCCTACAGAAATAATAATGTTCTTTAAAAAAATCCTGTTCTAGAAAATGATGGAAAAAACAACTCAAAATTGTATCGCGAACTTATAGTGGCTTGGCTACATTTGTGTGGGATGTGAGTTTGATCGAAGAGACAATCCACACTCGTCCATACCCAAATCTTCATCAAACCCCACACTTACATCTATATCTACCCTCAAAGTATTCAAAACAGAATTTACTGATAGAACTTGATGAAAAACGAGCTTTTTTCTATGTCATTTATGATCATATGCTGGTTGATGGAAAATAATTCTATTGAAAACTATTTTATTATTGAATCACTTATATGAAAGTATAATGAAAACATTAATGCAATGTCATTTAAAAAAAAATTCATCACTTTTGATCAATGTAGAACTTTTGTACTCGATGATTTCTTGGATCACTGACATAGAGGTTTCCCTCTTGATCAAATGATAAACTGATAGGATAAAAGAGTTGATTCGATTGACTTCCTTCACCATTTCCACCAACGATGACACTTCCCTGTTTATCGCCTTGAGGCCAACGCATGATTCGATGATTCATATCATCAGCGATGTAGACAGTACCTTCTTGATCCACGGCAATTCCTTGAGGATAATTTAACTGTGTAAGATCGTTTCCGTGACCTCGACCACCAGCTACAACAATTCCTTCTTTTTCGCCTGCTATCCACTTCATTACACGATGGTTATTGGAATCTGATATGTACACGGAATAATCTCGATCGACAACGACGTATTTTGGACCAGTTAACTGATCGAGACGATTACCAGGTCCATTGCCACCCGCAACCACTTTTCCTTGGTTTTCTCCCATTCGATATTGTCTGACTTCATGCTTATCATAATCAGCAACATAGAGATTTCCATCATCGTCCATTGTCAAGCCCCAACATCCAATATTTGAAATGATCATTTCTCCATTTACACCATTTTGACGAGGCCATCGAACTACTCTTTTATTGCCACGATCACAAATGACGAGACAAGCACGATCTTTATCAATAATTACATCACTCGGATTGTCCAACTGATCAGGACCGTTTCCTTGTCCATTTCCACCGGCCACAACTCGACCAGTCGTTGCACCATACTTCCATTCGACAATACGATGATTCGAGCCGTCAGCAATATAAATAGTTTGATCTTCATCAACGCACAAACCTTGTGCATAGTGAAGTTGATTCATTTCACTACCTTGTCCATTTCCACCCGCCAAAGTGACACCATTCTGAATCCACTTAACATTCGCATTCCCATTTGCATTGTGTAGAAATGGTGCTGAAGAAAAAAACGACAATTTCGTCCATTAATAATATATAAATGTACGTGGATAAAAATCAATATTTAAAGTAGAGAACTTTGATCAAGAGATAGAGAAAAAAGAATAATACGAGTGTGGATATAATTCCTCCTTTCAATAACAATCGCACGAACATTCACAAACACATTCACACTCACACCCAAACAGTTCATTTTTGTCATCCGAGAAATCAAGGTAAAAAAAGCCCTTTGGATTTTTCAATTTTAATTAGAATGCATAACTTACTTTTCATTTTAAGACAAATTTTATTAATGAAAGATGTTGAATCTTCTTCGATATTAAAATTTGATGGATTGTTGAGAATATCTTTCAATTGTTTAAGTTCTTCGTTGAAAAAGTAAATATCCGTATCGATAAAATCTTCCTCTTTGCGACATTTAATAAGTCGATCTGTCAATTGTTTCAATTTAAGTTGGAGATCCGTGGCAAATGTGACGACACACGATGCGAGTTCATTGCGAACTTCATTGGCCACTTGTTGAATCTTTTCGATCGATTCACGTTCCCATTTATCGATTTGTTTAATTAATTCATGATTTTGCGACTCAGCTTTTTGTTCATCGATTTCAATTTTGAATTCTGTAAATTGATGTTCGATTGCACCTAATTCTTCGCTCAGATCATTATGATGTTCGAACATGTGATTAAAACAGAAATTCTGAGAACATCCAACACATTTTACTGCGTTTTTTGGTTCTTTGCATTTAACACAAGCAGTTTTGCCAGTCGCTGTTGCCATTTG